TCCTCAGGTGAAGGTTAAAAAAAGAAAAGGAAAAAAATGAAACCCAGCCAGTGTGGCTCACTAGTTTAGCATTGTCCCATACACCAAGAGGTTGCCGGTTCGATTCCTGTTCAGGGCACATGTCCGGGTTGTAGGCCGAATCCTCAGTGGAGGGCATGCATTCAGGAGACGGCCAATCAGTGTTCTCTCTCATCAATGTTTCTATCTCTCTTCCTCTCCTTTCCTCTCTCTTTTTAAAAAATCAATAAAGAAAAAAAAATTTTTTTTTAATGAAATCTTTAAAAAAATTATTTATTATGTAAAGAAGTGCAACATAAAGTTCTGGGAAAATCCTATTTTAAAAAGCACTGATGCATAATTAAACAAACTTCAAAGTACTGTTGTTTTCCCAAAAAGACATTAGAAAAAGGTTACAAAGAAGTTTAATAAAATTCAATGTAATGCATTCATTCAAAACTTAACTTTTCATCAGCCTTCACACTCAATTTAATATGCTTTGTTCAAAAAGTTTTAAAAATTTGAACTATACTGCTATGTGACATGAAACTCTTAAATATCTGTACTAAAATTTCATGACACTAGTCCTATAAAAAATGTTTTATGTGTACGGATTATAGCCGCTTTAAATTCCACAGTTCAGCAGTGGTTAAACAGATAGGTTTTAAAAATGACCTGCCTAAATAAGATAACAGGGAATTACAAAAATGAGACATACCCTCAAATTATATTACACAAGCTATTTTCACTGATAATGAAAGTCAGACATTCATCTCAACTATAGGCAATTTGGTTATGAAATGTTACATTTTCAGAACAGAACTTATACAACTGGTTCTATTCCTATTTATTTCTAACACAATCTCAGAGGAAAGGAACAATCGGAAAACACAGTATAAATCTCCCTAGCTGAGCAAGAGAGCTGGCTAAATAATCAAATTGACTACTTTAATTTACCAGTATGAAGCACCAAGACATAGGAAATCTACCCTGAACTGACAGACATTTTCAATAGGCATCTGATCTCAACACTGAAGAATGGAAAGCCAGGCATACAAAACCTAGAAAGGTTTGCATTCAAAATTGAATTTACTGTGAGTCAGGGCCATCGTAGTTATTGTTTCTGTATGAGAATGGTAAAACAAAAGAAAAAAAGGCACCTAATTTGATTTAGAAATTCTTATATTTTAAGTTTTCTCCAGGACAGTCCATCAATCATTTTGATATTTACATCTCTAATAAATAAGTTTAAGCCAAATAAAAGTCTAAAACTACTTAAGTGAAAGCCTTCTTCACTCCCTAGTAGCAATCACCAAAATTTCAGAATAATTATTTCACACTACAGGCCAATTTCAGGATCTGAAAATCTAAAGTCATCAAGTGATGACAAATGCTGTATTAGAATATGATTCACAATTTTCCATATAAACTATCAACAAGAACTGGGGCACTTCCCAGTTCCTAAACCAGGCCCTAAACCAATAATCAACACCATTCAAAGTTAAACAAAACTCCCAAAGAGCTCAATTCCACATCTGAGGTTTTTAATAAAGATTTTGTAAACTTCTGCATAAATATGGCAACTACCTTACTTCCTATCAGGAAAACACCTTCCCCTCTGTAGCTCATTATGGATCTGTAATCTTTTTACATAGTACTATAACACTAAGTAATACAGTAGTTAAAGCACTTACAATCATCAATGCAGCAGCAGCTCCGAGAGAACAGTTTTTTTTTAAGTTCCCACCTTGCCTGGTCAGAGCGCCTCAGTTGGCTGAGCATGTCCTGTACACCAAAACGCTGCCAGTCCAATTCCCAGTCAGGCATGTAACCTGGGTTGCAGGTTTGATCCCCAGTCTGGAGTGTACAGAAGGCAACCGACTAATGTTTCTCTCTCTCTCTCTCTCATTCTCAATATGTACTCGGGTGAGAATTTAAAAAAAACCCTTTCATCTTGTCTGCTTAAAACTGTTACCAACTTTGAGAAAAATGTCCCTGTGAACCTTTTCTTAAAACTGCACATTCCCTTCCCGGACTCCAGACTTGACCATCCTTCCGTGTTTCTGCAGCACTCAGTACAACCCTTTGTATAGCACTATTTCCATAATGTCACGGTCATTTACTCTCATCCTGGTATCCCCACACTAGACCTGAGCCTCTTAAGAGCACAGAACTCTTACCATCACCTTCATGCTTGGCATACAGATATTCAAATACTAGGTTAATAAAATCCAAATTAAGTAAATAAATGAAGCCCAAGAAAGTATGCTTAGGCAAGGATAGTAAGTATCTATTGTGGGTTTACTGAGATAGACAGTTGAATTTAAAATATCCAAGTGGAGCCCTGGCTGGTTTGGTTCAGCAGTTAAGAGCGTCAGCCTATGGACCAATGAGTCACAGGTTCAATTCCGGTCCAGGACATGTACCTCGGTTGTGGTTAGTCCCCAGCCTTGGTCAAATCATGTGGGAGGCAACCAATCGATGTGTCCCTCTCATGTCAATGATTATTCTCTCCCTCTCTCTCTCTCTCCCCTCACCTCCTCCCTCCCTTCAACTCTATCTGAAGATAAATGGAAAAATATCCTCAGGTGAGGATTTTAAATAAATAAAATATCCATGTGGAGATAATCTGTGATTAAGTCAAGTCAATATCTGACCTTAAAACTAGAATCTGGAGATTTTACACTGTTGCTGAATTCTGTTAATAGCATGTAGACACGTGACTATCCCTGTAGAGATCCCAAAAGGACAACTTCAAACCTCCATTCTTCTCCCTCCAGCAGCTCCCTTTACTTTCCTAGAAGCTACTACCCACAGAGACCAAGGCCTTCCACCTGTGACACATCAGACCCAGTTAAGAGCAATGTGGACCAGAGCCATTAATTTTTCTATTTCTTACAGGGGACAAAGCACTGGAATTCTACTCCGCTTCCAAGTCCACCCTCCCACCAAGCAGATGTGCAAGGAATCAGGCATAAGAAATTATCTCTATTACCAACACAGTACTTGAGACACATAAACACAGAATAATGTTAAGTAGTCATTGTGGGTGGTCATACAACCTAAACTTCCTGTGTAATGTATTATTCGTCATGTAACACTGCTTATATTGCAAAATGTTCTCTTTCTAGAAAACTTTTACAACTCCAATTTCTATACTGAGGACTACCTATGGCTTTCGGGTACCATTAAACAGTTGGTCTGTTTAACAACTGTGATACTTCAAATCCTCATGTAATAAGTAGGTTAGACTGTAAGCCTGTCAAATATAATCACCATACAAAGTTTTCAGTTAAGTTCTATGAAAATAAATACATGTGCCCTGTGCCTCCAGGTCCACCCTCTCATTAACCTAGAAATAACCTTCAGCTGTTACAATTCGCTTGGCGAAGACTTGCTGGAGGAGAAAGAAAATGTCAGGTTTGCCACAAAGTTTGGCAGTTAGGTAATTACTAGGCTGCATATTATTTGTACAGCCTCCAAAAGCATCTCCAGTGTGTCCAAGCGGCAGGCAGGGAAGGAGGGCGAGCATAGAGGCGTTTGCAACTGCTCTGTCTCCAGCAGGATAGCCCTGCACTGGAGATTAAGTGCTGCAAGGGGGACAGGTAGGGCAGACGGGCTTCACACTCCTCCTACAGAGTTTTTACCATAAAAGCAAGTTTTAGAAAAGTAAGAACTCTTGATCTATCATAATGCAAACCAAGTCCCTTTCGATTAAGTCATGTAATATAAGGATCCTCACACTCTTGAGCATATATACTGGGACGCGTACTACTTAGAAATGGTATTCGGGCTATGTTATGAACTGTATTATGGAAGTCTATGACTTTAAATTCTGACTCTTCTGAAATGCTATTTTCCGCTTTGAAATGTGCGAAAGAAATCATATGCAATAGGAAATCTTTTGTAAAGCAGAAGTTTTTAAAACAAATTGTTATCCCCCGTGAAAATCTTAACTTTCAAACAAAAGAGTTGAATAAATGAGTTTCAGCTAGTTTGTTCCAAGTACTTAAATACCTCAGGGTTTTTATCTCCTGTACTAAAAATATTTGTATCACAAGGTGCTGACAAACACAGCTAACACCAACTAAGAACTGTTTTTCTAAACCTATTTCTGCAGTAATGGCAGTTATTTTTGTAGTTCTTCTAGATATCTAAAGTGACTAAACTTAGTATTTTAACACTGAAACAGTCCTAATTCATCACTATCTGAATACAGATCAAATGTCTTCTTTACTTATCAAGACTTAATTATCAATTATGTCATTTCAAACCTACCTTTGGGGACAGATGGGGCTGTACTCTTTATATTTTATTATCTTTGCAATATCCAGATATGATTGAGAATGGAAAACACTGCCACAATGATTTACAAATGGCCATATGAAACGAATAAAAAGATGTACCAAATGGTGGGGGGAGTTGAAGGACTATTCCCTTCTAAATTAGTGAAATTTCTGTACAGGAGAAAAATGAGGGAGGGAGGAGCAGCAGAACGTGAATGTAAAACTCATTCGCTCTTTGCTTCTTAAAACATATATACCAGTCTTGAAAGTGTAATTTTTACAGGGGCACACACTTATTTCCAAGAAGAAAAAAACTGCTCAACAGTGAGCAAATTTCTGGACCAGGTGTTGAAAATAAAAAAGAATTTTAGTCTAATAAACCATAAAAGCTTTCGTATAAATTGTAATGCTTCTTTCTTTTTTTTTTTTTTTTCAAGGATGCATCATGTCAGCCCATATTAGCTTGATGACTTTAAGTCCAAGGAAAATGGTCTTTTTTTGTGCTGGCCAGTTATGTCCCCGATACTTCTGTATACTCTAACTAATTAACTGAACCTCATCAGGGAGAGATTAATGATGGCTCGGACACTCAAGAGACACGACTTCGCAGTCTACCAACAGAGGCCTGTTTGAGTCGAGGGGGGAGCGGGGGGCAAGGTGAGCACAGGGCACGAGGGGCTGCGGGCCAGGGCAGCGCGCCCGCTTTCAGACACTTACTGGTTTACTAGGGTACACGTTAGAGAGGTGCGTTTTTAGTTTCCCCACGGTCCAGTTCAAGAAGCAGCTAATAGTCTGGTCACTGTATTTCTGATTCGGTGCTTTAATGATGAGGGTCACAGGAATCTCCATCCCACTTTGGTCCATGGTGCCCCCGAAGTCGGAAAGAGGCAGGAGCAGCAGCCCTTCGGAGCCCAAAGGAGCCGAAGTGGTTACTCCCGGCACGACTGGGATGGGGACAGAAGCTAGCGGGTTCTTAACACTCCGGGTCCAAGTCAGTCACAAGTGCATCGGGCGACACGCAGGCCATTGCCGGTCCCAAGGATGACGGACGGTGGCGGCGGGGGGTCTGGGGGCCCGGCCGCGGGGGCAGCGTTCCCCGCCAGGTCCGGGCTCCGCTAGGCTCCACCGGACTCCGGACTGCGGAGGGGGGCCGGGGAGACAGAAATCGATGAGAAGGGGGAAGGGAGGGGTGGGGGCGCCACGGCCCGAGTCGCCGCCCCGCCCCCGCCGCGACCCCCCAGCTGAAACGCAACAAGGCCCCTACGCGACGGCCCCGCCACGCGGCCTGGGAAGGGACCAGGGGCTCCGGGGGCCGGCCGGGCAGAGGTACCTGAGAGAAGGTCGTGGGGCCCGCCACCGCCGCCCTCCGCGCCGGGCTCGGGCCGCCGGCCGCTCAGTCGGGCCGGGCGTCCTCCGCGGCGGCCGCTCCCTTCCTGCTGCTCGGCCGCGGCCAGCGCCGGGTCTCGCGAGGCGGCGCGGGGGCAGCAGGAAAAGTTGGCCAAAGGGCGCGGCCCGCTGTCCGCCCGAGGGGTCGGGCAGGGGCAGCCGCGAGGGGCCAAGCCCAGCCCGGCGGCGGCAGGTGGCAGGAGGGCGGGGACTGCAGCCGCGGCGCCCGCTGCCAGCGCGCCGGTTTTGTTGTTGTTGTTGCGAGCCTGGGCTGGGGCCCCTTTAAGCCGGAAGCCGCCGGGCGGAAGTGCGTCACGCGACCCTCCTGACGCGGGGCCCGCCCACCTCGCCGCCCGCCGCTCCGGGGCTCCCCTAGGCGACCCCGGGCGGAGCAGTTCCCGGCCACCCCGGGGCGCGGCGAGCCCCGCGGGCCTCACCCTCCGTGGGGTCCCCATCCCTAGCCTCATCGGGAGCTCAGCTGGCGTGAGCTGGCCTGTTTTGACCACACCCCAAGATTTGGCCAGGGCTCCTCCATCCTAAGAGCTGTCTCCGCAAAGGTTACTTAGTATCCTTCCTGATGCTGCATCAAACTTCTGCTCCAGGTTTCAGGGCTCGCCTGTCTGCAAAGCGCGGTACCCGCAGCGTTGGCGGAGGAGAGACCTGGGCGCACAGTGCACAGGGCCAGAGGCTTGCAGAGAAACCCCCACGCCACCCCGGTTAACTCGGAGCCTCGGTGCGCTCCTCGGAAGGGAGCCCGCGACGCCTCCCGACTGCGCGCGGAGGAGTGAGCGGTGCTCGGAAACCAGCCGCCACCGGTCCAGCGCGTGGCAATCTCCCAAATAACGTAAACTGCCCTCCCTGCCCTCACAAAGTGGACCGGTGTGCCTTGAGCACCTACTGTGTGTTTAGCACGGCCGGAGACAAATAGGGGTGGCTGCGGTATTTTTTTTGTTTTCTGGCTCAGACATGGGAACGCAAAGGTTAAGTCCACTGCCCAAAGCTGACCTACTGCACGAGTTTGGCAGTCAGCACAGTGAGTTCAAGTTTGTTACATGTGTAACATGTGTTACATGTTTTCACAGCTCCGGGGGCTTCCACTTAGAGGAGGATGCGAACAGATAATACAGGGGGCTTTGGGGAGCTGGACTCTTCCTCCTAGTGTCAGGAAAGTAGGTTTGTGAAGGTTAGCCACCAGTGTGTTAGTGACCAAGGGCGACTTCGTCCTCTCAGGAGCTCCTGCAGCAGGATCCCTCAACACCTTCTCTGTCTGGCTCTTTGTGGTAGGACACTCCGCCTATGCCCTAACTTTCGGTGACCTTCTGAAATAAGAGGAAGTCCCCTGTATTTCTTGCCATGGAATAAGGACAGCTTGCTGAGGTTTTCTGTAGCAGAATTCTTCGGATCTAGTTTCTAATCGTCCTAATAGAACCTTTTTTTTTCTAGCTAAAAAAATACTTTTTTAAAACTCCTTACACCTGGGGACAGCCATTTGACACAATCCTGGATCAATCCTGGACGAAAGCTGAAGTGGCTACTGGGGCTTCTGGGAAAGCTTTTAGATCAATGGTTCTCAACCTTCCTAATGCCCGACGCTTTATGTTGTGGTGACCCCCAACCACAGAATTATTTTCATTGCTACTTCATAACTGTAATTTTGCTACTGTTATGTCTTAGGCGACCCCTATGAGAGTCGTTGGACCCCCAAAGAGGTCGCGACCCACAGGTTGAGAACCCCAGTTTTAGATGGCTGTGCTCTGCAGATGGAGCTCATCCTTGCCCTACACCTGTTCCTTCCTGGAGGGATGGAGGTGCAGAAGCTATAGTTCAGGCATCAAGCAACAAACAGAAGAACAAGGACTTACATTCCAAGGACAGCAAGCAGAACAATTAAAAGAGGCTGGATCCTTTATGGCATCATCATGCCACCATATAAGTACTAAACTGTCACCTCTATGACTTCCTTTTTTGTCTAATTCCTCTTTAAGTCAAGAAATCTCCACAACCACCCAGACCTGAAGATCTTGTCACTTATGCTTGTGACTCAGACTTCTAGGAATCCTTTAGAGTAGTGGGGGTCCTCTCACTTGGCACTGTGAAATGTATATAATTAATTATATATGTTAATAATTCTTAACATTAAAACAATATGCCCTTCACTGTGATGAGCACTATTTACAGTAATCCATCAAAGTTTCACTAGCATGGACAAAAATATTTTAAAATGTAATGAACATTCAAGAGATTGAAATATATGGATATAAAAATGATATGGGATCTGAAAAATGATATTTTTCCATAGTGGCCGCACCAGTCTGCATTCCCACCAGCAGTGTACTAGAGTCCCCTTTTCTCCACACCCTCGCCAGCACTTGTTGTCTGATGATTTGTTGATGGCAGTCATTCTGGCAGGTGTGAGGTGATACCTCATAGTTGTTTTAATTTGCATCTTTCTGATGATTAGTGATGTTGAGCATTACTTCATTTGGTTCGGCCATTTGTATGTCCTGTTTGGAGATATGTCTATTTAGGTTCTCTGACCATTTTTTAGTTGAGTTCTTTGTCTTCCTTTTGTTGAGTTGTACGAGCACTCTATATATTTTGGAAATTAACCCCTCATCTGATGTATTGTTGGCAATTATGCTCTCCCATACAGTGGGTTCCCTTTCCATTTTGATTATCGTTTCTTTTGCTGTGCAGAAGCTTTTTAATTTGATGTAGTCCCATGTATTAATATTTTTCTTTGTTTTGAATGCAGACTGGTGCAACCACTATGGAAAACAATATGGTGTTTCCTCAAAAAAGTAAAAATTGATTTGCCATTTGACCCAGTGAACCCACTTCTAGCAATATACCCTAAGAAGCCTGAAACACCGATCAGAAAGAATATATGCACCCCTATGTTCATAGCAGCACTATTTACAATAGCTAACATCTGGAAACAGCCCAAGTGTCCATCAGTAGATGAGTGGATAAGAAAGCTGTGGTATATATATACAATGGAACACTATGCAGCTGAAAGAAAGAGAGATCTCTTAACCTTTGAGATGATGTGGAGGGACCTGGAGAGTATTATACTAAGCGAAATAAGCCAATCAGAAAAAGACAAATACCACATGATCTCACATATTTGTGGAATATAATGAACAAAATAGACCGAGACATAGAAAGGAGTATGGTTCAGACTGACAAACCTCAAAGGAGGGGGGCAGGAGGGGATGAATGAGATAAACCAAAGAAATGCATGTGAGCGTAACCAATGGACATAAACAACAATGTTGGGGTTGGGTATCTGGGGGGGGGGGGGAATATCTGTAACAAAAATAAATTAATAAAAACTGGGAAAAAATGATATTTTTTTACTTTACAGATCCCTGAATTAAGTACCTAAAAGTGCTTTTGATGCTATTGAACTTGGCCACAATAAAAACTGCACATAGCCCTGGCCAGTTTGGCTCAGCAGTTAGAGCGTTGGCCTGCGGTCCAGAGAGACCCCGGTTTGGTTCCCGCTAAGGGCACGTACCTCGGTTGCAGTTTGTTCCCAGCCCCGGTTGGGTCGTGCAGGTGGCAACCACTCAATGTGTCCCTTTCACGTCGATGTTTCTCTCTGTCTCTCTCTCCCTCCCACTCTATCTGAACAAAAAATGGAAAAATGTCCTTGGGTGAGGATAAAAAAAAAAAAACAACAGTACATAAACGTCCTGTTTTTGTTAAATTGCGTATATATGTGTATAGAACAGTGTATTAAAGAGTGGTCCCCAGAATACCGAGTGTTTAACTTGGAATCTGGGAGAGGAAAAATAGAAAGCATTGAGGGGATGCAACACAGAAGTTACTCAGAAGCCGCCGTGAGTCTTCAGCGGCCTAGTTAAGTCACTGCACATGTCACAGATCAATGGCCATGTGAAAGAACGGCTGCACATCCGTTACCACTTGTCACTTAAGGACAGCCTCTGATGAGAATGCTTAAGAGTACGATGCTAATAAATAAAAAAAGAGTTTGTGATTGTTAAGACTGAATCTACTTTAAGAATGTTAACTGTTCAGTACAGGTAATCATAGTGGCTCATTCAGGAATTCAGGTTGACCTGCCATTAGGGTAGCTTTCTTTGTTAACAAAGTAAAACAAACATTTAAAAATTATTTATAAATAATAAAAATTGATTTCCAGTATTTGTGGGATGTTTATTTACTTCCAATTATTTTAATCTTTGAAGTGGGAAGGACCTCTAGAAAAGCCTATAATTGACTCATTCTGTTAGATTCCAGTTTCTTTTAATATTTTAAAGAAAATAAAGTGCTTGTTACTGATTTTTTTCTTACTAAAATTTAGAATACCTTTCAGGAAGATAAAATACTTTATTGATGTTGAATCATCTAGGTTGTGGTGTTTTGGTTTTGGTTTTGGTTTTTTGGGGGTTTTTTTCATATAACTCTTGGGAGGAAGGACTTCCATCAAGTGATGATCTTGCAGTTGGAAATTTCAAAGATGATGTTGGCCATCTGGCTTCTGATTCCTTCTATTTCTGTTCACACCAAACTGTCTTTTCCTTTAAAAAAAGATGCTATGCCACAAAGCATCTAATCAAATATTAATCAAGTTTATTGTTGAAAAACAAGTAAAATCCTACACTTGAAGCCTAGGAAAATTAGCTCGTTTCAACATTGCACTCTCAAAATCTTAATTGGCCCCAGATGTTTGATTATGAACCATACCGTAGAGAATGG